AATATTTTTTCCAGAACGATTTGAAATGTTTGAATTCAATTGTTAATAACTTTTTAACGAAGCCCCCATCAACAAATTGGTATTCTTGATTTTCGTGTTATTTTTGCCTCTAGAATCCCCCTTTAAAATTTTTCCCAGGGGTGGCAGAATACCCCTTATATACATATAAGCCTGAAGCCTTTAATCGATTAGCAATCGTCAGGCCCTTTTCGTGCTCGTGATTTGTTCGACGGTGTTAATGAAACGTGTGTTATACTTTTTCTCTTTACTTTCCTCAATTTTTCCAAGCACCGTGACGAGCGTGAAAAGGACCACGGCGATCGACCAAACGTTCGGACGTTTTTCCCCCTTTAACGCGGTGATTGTCACGCGCCAAAATTCGAAAATCGCGTAACCTAAACTCTATCGTAACAATTATTTTTGTAACCTCATCGAGAATCCGTGAACTCTATTAGGATTTCTTTTCGTTGATCGATCGCTTTAAGTCGTTTTGAAACACTTGACGAAAGAGTACGGACGACGAGGCAGCCAACGCGTTAAAGGAGCTCGATGGAGGCGAGTAGCCGCAACAACACATTGTATATCCTTGTAAAGTAATCCTCATCGCTGTACCAGAAATTTAAGAGAAACGGCCAGGCGGGCGCTGTCTTGGGGCACGCGATGCGAACTTCCTCAAACACAAAACCGAAGATCGCGTCCCCCTGCGCCGAACAAAGTGTTCGTCGGTATTCCCAGATTGCGGGATTAATTCTTTCGCCGTGGGTGTTCGTCGACTTGCGAAATCGTTGGTGCTTGGATATATCGCGACTCTGTATGTTTCAATTAAAAAAAAATATTTATTTGCGAATCACCGATACCGTATCTGTTTTCGATCATTGATCGCCTATCCGATAAAGACGCTGTCGTTCGGTTTACGCGAAAGAATTAATCTTGCGAGGGTGAACTGTGGCGCATGCGCGGACAGAAATTTCGAGCCAGAAGTTTCGTGTAATATTTTCCTCGAGTGTGATTAATCTTTGACGCGACGAATCGACCATGGATCGAACGATAGAAAAGTAACGTAAATTTCTGTCGGCCGCGCGCGCGCACGTCCACAAAGATCCTGCAACTACAATCTGGCATTCCCGATCTATCGTAGAACCGAAACGTGCCACTGCCTGCGGAACCGAGACGCCGGATATTGACACTTTCGTACTGGCATTTAACGTACGCTGCAATTTCTCTTGGTTTTACGCTCCGCCGTTGTTCGATAATCGCGTTTGCGCGTCTCAAACTCCGTGCGTCGATCACCTCCTCTCCATTATCGATTTCTTCTTCCAGCTGTACGCCCGAGCGTACCCCAAACTTAATCGTCGAAATTCGTTATAAAACGCGGTTGGGGGAGTATCGACGCACGCCGTCGGAGAGATCGACGCCTGCGTCTAACGACGAAAAGTTGAATGGCGTTAATCGCGTCCTTGTACCATAAGCAATAAAAAAGAGAAAAAAAAAAGATGAGAACGATATGCGAGACGATTCGAGGATCGAATACCGTCGATCGATAACGCTGCAATATCTTACTGCTAGATCGATTTTAGTCACTCGTGGCAGCGACGGAATGGTTCTGAAGCGGTGGGCGGGGAGGTTAGAGGGAGGGGGGTGGGATTTCGCAGAGCCGTGACGAATTTTCTTAGACAAAAAGCTATACCTTTAGACGCGTCGATTAACTTGTATTTAAACTATACGCGGATCTATCGAATAATTATATTTTACACACCTAGCGACGTTCATTCGCCCCGTTGTTAGAATCTTGTCGTTTATTTTAGTAAATTAAAAGTACAAGATTAAGTACGATGAGATGTTGTAAGAGACAACCTCTGTAAAACGTTCAATCTCTCGCCGACACTGTCGCGTCTTCGTCATTATCCTTGCGGCCATTAGGCGAATCACCGTTCTGTGCATCCTTTCCCGCCGTTTTTCGCGACCACCGACCGTCCCACGTCGATACATTTATCGATCGTCGGTCGGTCGATTATTCTTCGGCTGTACTCTTTTGGAACTTCGATCGCGACGATCGATTGCCGTTAATCGATTATCACGTTACACGCGAAGGGCGTAAAAAGAGACGGGGAGAACGGAAGAAAGGAGACACCGATTTTCTTCGGTCACGTTCAATTACGAGTCCGGTAATTGAAGTTTTGAAAGAATACAGCTGTCTCTTTTCTCGCTCGAGACGTTCATCCTTTATTCTCGGGGCGAAGTAGATAGCGAAACGTTTAATTAGAATTTTGATAGAGAAGAAAACGTTATTGCCGTGTTACGTGAGAACGTTATAAAACTGATGACTCTTTTTGATATTCGAACGTTGATTCTCGAGCGAGGAAGAGGTGAAAGATCAAATCGAACAAAAGTTTAAGTTTCAATAAAAAGAAAAGGAAAGTTCTGTGAAGCTTTGCGATAACGTGTACATACATAATCGCTCTCCGTCTCTCTCTACCTGTGTTCTCTTCGCATCGATAAATTTAACATTTGAACCGTATAACGTTATCTCGCGAGGGAATCCTAGAATTAGTGAACAGTCATTTTATGAAACGTCAAAGGGTGAATGGAAAAATTGAACGATGACATTCTAATGTTAGAGTTGCATGAAGTTTCGAGGTTACCAACGACAATGAATTTAAACCAAAAATTATAGGAAATTTACTCTAAAAATAGTCAGACAAAATTCCCACTAGTGGTATAATCTTGTTTATAAGAAATGTTTTATAGAATGTCATCGTTTTATGCTATATATTCTTCCACGAGAAGAAGACACAGCGTGTTTACACCCCCACTTCTGTTGCAGTCCGCTGACTCACAGGTATTGGTCGAAAACGATGACGAAGATCGGTGACAGCAAATCAGCGAACAGCAGCAAGAGTGGTGATGTAAACACACTGTCTTCTGCTCGTGAAAGGACGACACATCGCTCCAAATTTCGTTAAAATCTCTAAATCGCTAATTATATGGATTCCCCATTTTTTAAATCGAGTTAATATAACAAGGTGATTCAAAAGTGGCGTCATAAAAGAACAGTCCTAATAACACGAATCTGTGAAACCTTTGTTACAATTTGTGTAGATCGTCTACTAAATTATTACAAATGACATCACTTAAAAAAAAACCATAATATACACGAGTGGAAAATTTATAAAAACTCTGTCAGAAGTGCTGGAGATACGCGTCCACGAGTTTTGTGATAATTTTTTAAATGCTTCTTTTCGTTCCGTTGCTTTCCTTTTTTATTTTTCTAAATTACAAAAGAATGCAGCCGTTGTTGATCGTGGGTGTCGACAAACGACCGGGATTTCGAATCGATGATCGATCGTTATTAGTGGATCCAGAACGACACGAGAAAACTCATCATTTGCGGTTGGGACCAAGTCTCGACGATCGTCAAGAGTATGTAATTAGAATTCCTTTTCGGCTGCTTAGTCGTGTCTCGTCGTTTCTAAATAAATACGTAAATCCTATAGATACCGAATATCGTGCACGCGCTCAGAGCCGAGATACGAAAAAAAATAATAACTTAATTATATATTTCCGTCGTTTTCTCCGACTGGATTTCCGGGCCATCGATCGACGCTTTTCGCCAATCACACGGAAGCAGATAATGACAGCTGATAGCGTCAGTAATGCGCATTGTTCAACTTGCGAGTAAGTCCTTTGACGCGAACGCGAAAGCAAGTTGAAGGGTGTCGTTTTAGTCAAGGGGGGAAAAAAGTGGAAAGAAACGTAGGAAAGGTGATGATGAAACCACATTTTGTGTATAAATACTATCCATCTGTCGTGCGGGAAAGAAGAAAAAGAGCAAAGCAGCGAAGGAAATTGAAGAACTGAATCTATGTCTAAGCCTTCGTTTCCAAATAAATGAAAACTAGAGTTACGCAGATTGTTTTTTTGCAAACATAATGAGCGCAACACTTGGCAAACACTAAATATATTAAGCTAGTTATTTATAGAGAGTTTGACCCGAACGTTTTGGGGGGTATTCGAGTTTAATTCCATTGTCGATGGGCTATGCCAGTACTGATGCTGAGAGGAAGTGAGAGCGTGCGTTTTAATTCTTACAGTTTGCATTAAAAATATACACAAGCAAGAGCAAAGGTACAACACGTATAAATATATATATATATATATTTATGATGAAGAAATATATATATATCTATACACATGAATACACACATCCGCACATACACGTACACACGCGCACGCACACAGTATATATACAGATACACACACACACACAACACTGGAGAGTTGTACTGTGCCAGAATATGTAATATCCTGTGTTACGATTGGAAACTGTTGTAATTCAGAAGTATTTTGAGAGAATATCCTTTCTAGCGACGAGTCGGAACTTAACTGGTTACAATTAAGCAAGTAATATATTTATTGAAGTTAAAGTGTGGTAAATTTTAGAAACGTTGGAATTATGTTTCATATAACGAGTTATTGATTTGTTTCACATGTACAATCATATAATGTGAAATGATATATTGTGAACACTAAAATAGGTAATGGAAAATTATATTATGAATTTGAATTTACAAAAGTTTAATTGAACGTTATAAATAAAGAGAAATACACAATTATACAAAGTCAGGCTAGAACGATTTTTGCTATTTGCTGCTTCTAGTAACAAATGCACTTGTTTTAAAAAGGACCCCAAGTACATTACGATAGAATATTTTATTTACCGAATAGTACCTTAATCCCTTGTATTTACAGCATCGATACTCCGATGATTCTATTTTAATTAATTTCCCTTTAATTATCTTTGCATGACAAATAAATTTCAGACGAACGCCCATTATCTTTAACAATTCAATTTCGATTCGAGCGAATTGTATTAATATAAGCACTACAGTATCCGCGGTCACAATAAAATAAAAAACAAAAAAAAAAAAGAAAACATCGTGGACTTTGACAAAATTTTCCAAACCTTGGAGAACGAAAAATAATTAAATATAATCCTTCCATGGAACAAAATATTACAGAAGTATGAAAACCTTTGCAATATCGCTGTAACTAGTTAAAAGGGAGGAAACCACTTTCAATCATTTTATAAAAGACTCCTGGAAACAAATTTTCCACCACTGGGGATCCTCGATCATCGCCATCCTTGTTGCCCGATGAACCAGAGTCATCCAAAGTAAATGATCCTTCTGACGATTAAATTGCAATAAATGTCTTGCAGAGATCCTATATTCAAATAATATTATGTATCATATATGTATGTTATTCAGATAATAATTGCTATATTTTATTACTGGTTATTTTTATTATTAAATGCCTTATTATACTTTCTAAGTGAAACTTTATATATATGTATATAGTATATACATAGAATTACATACAGGGTTCGCTAATATCCGCGGAAATGCTTGGAATCGAACCCCCGCGGATACGGAAGTTTCACTATATACAGAACACGTTATGGAGAAATATTAGAAGATTCGATGCACCACCAATTCCACGCATCATGAGAAGCAAACACGATCACTGTTCCACAGACTGATCTTTCTGTAGCAAGCCGTACCTACGATGGAGCTCCTCCTCCATAGCTTCCAGTTGCTCCCTGTTCTGTTCTTGCGTCATCTGTTCCATCAACTCGTGGTTGTAAGTGGAGTGCAGCATGAGGGCCAGTACACCGGCACGAGTGGCCATGTTCGATCTGATTTGCCTTTCCTGTTCGACGAGCTCGTCTATCTTCAACCACTGTCTCACTCGCTCCATGTCGATCTCCGCTCGTCGCAGCTTCTCCCAAACGTAATGCTTCACGCAACTTTTCTTCGGCGCCCGACAGAACTCCCCGGTAGTATCGAACACGTTCGTAACCAAGGGGCAACCGCACACTTCCATTTCACTGATCTTCGGATCCTTGCAATGTTCCGGGCAGAGGACCCGCAATCTTTTGCAATAAGTTCGATTCACGGGGTTGTAGAAATCACAGAACATCACCTGCCCTTCGATGCGTGTCTTGAAGATCGAGCCAAACGACGCTTGAGACTCGTACTAAAAGAAACAAATGTAATTGAATTGATTAAAACAACGAACGACCGTGCCGGAACGACCATGATGGATTTACCTTATTGAAGCATTTTTCCATGTGTTTTATAGCGGTTCTCGAATGAATCTCGTGTCCACAAGTGATACAATACATGCTCATTTCTGTATCGTCGTTGTCATCCACTTCGGCTTGCGGATCGATCGTCGCGTGCTTCGCTCGTTCAATAATTCTGTCCAGCTCCGCGTGTCTTTTGTCCAGTTCCTGAAGTATCCTTCTAACGTCGTGTTGTTGCTTCCTAACGGACTCCAAAGCCCTTCTGTTATTCTGCTCCGCGATACACGGCGTTAACGACCATTCTTGTATCCGTTGCGGTAGCACTTGGTAAATTCTATTCGTTGCCAATTTCAAACCACACTCATCCGAGCAATACTTGCTGCCCGATCGTGATTGTTTCGTGCAAGCTGGCCCGTAACAATGTCTCGGTACTTCCAGGTGCTCGTTCCTCTCGTTACTAGAGTCCCTCTTACGTTTCTTGATGAATTTGGAACTTTTACTGAAACTCTTCGAGGGCTTCAACGGATCGCCCAATACTCGACAAGTTCTTTGTACGCATCTGAGTTTCAATCGTACCGAGGGTCCAAATTTTTTCAAATGTCTACCAATTAAACGTTTAATTAATACGAAACTTACAGCGATTACCATTTTTCCAATTTCTACCAATTTCTACGTTAATTTTTACCTGCATGCGTCACATTTTCCACAGTTCTCGGTTCTTAAACAACCTGTACATTCTCCACAATGTTTCGATGATTTTTTTACTACGGTTGGATCCCAAGGTGCATCATACTCGTATCGATGAGCTCGCTCCTTTTCCTTATGTTTCTTGTACTTACGATCTTCCTGGTCCGTTTTCCGCGGTTTGTAACGTGTTATCAAAGTTGGATCCTCTTCTCTACAACGCTGCAAATATGTTTAATTAACATGATATATTAAACGTTAATTATTTATATCTGCCAGGAAGTTCTTACAATACAAAAGAATTGTTTTATGTGCTTGGCATCTTTTTCAGTTATATTTATACAGTCACCGTGATACCATTCTTCGCACGCATCGCATCCTCTAAAATGAAAATGTACATCGATCATTATTTATAAGCAATAAAGAAAGTAATTCCATAGAAAAATTATGTCTGTTACTTACATCATGAAACGCGAGCTATCGGAACTTCTACAAATACAATATGCTTGTCCATCCTGTTTCAGTAAGGTAGCAATCTTACTTTTTCTCTCTGGTAGCATAAACTGTTTTGCTATTTCTTCTTTCTATAAAATATAATGTCACTTTCATGTATGAATTTCGTAATTGTAAGAAAGTTATTATTATCTTTAGAAAGCATCAATGCCAAAAACAGTTTTTCGCAAGCAACGATACGAAATAATTTTATTCCAAAAATTGAAGAACATTTAAATTGTGCACGATTCTTTTTTAATCACCCGCTTCGATTGTTATGAAACTATTTTCAAGCTGACACTTCAATGTGAAACAATAAGTTTCATATCTATGATTAAAAGTATGACTGAAAATGTCATTTTATTTGTTAATTTTTTAAATCGATTATTTGGATAGTGCGGGACGAGTTGGAAATTAACACACGTGTAAAAGTGTATTTGATTAAAAATTGACATACAGTATTAATATGTAAATACATACCGACAAATTCTGCTGCCTTTTATCAGCCATGACGATATATTATTATTCTACAAAATATTCTATAAACCTGTATCTCAAAAGGTTTTATTCTATGTAGAAATATCGTATTTTCAATTCTATCCTAACGCAACGAAACAATCTGCGGCCATGTTGAAATGCATACTGCAGTGGTGCGCAACCATGTCGTTTAAAGGGTTTAATATCTTGCCTTCGAAGTTGTATTAATTTTTATTTTTTGTTATACAAATATTATACGGCATTCGATCACTTTTAAATAAAATAAAATGAATCAACGGATCGAATATATTTTTATGAAACTAAATTATGCTTATGCTTCGCTATTGACTACAAATACAAAAGTCTGCTTCTTCACATGCGCGCAGCTTTATACTTGCAAGCATATGGAATTTATTTTTTTATTAATTCACCTTTACAACAATGTGGTGGGTTATTTTATATAAAAAACTGACTTGGTAATAATATTTGTACACTTCGAAAGAGTAAAATTAAACAGAATTAAGTAAAGTACAATTTAGGAACGATCCCTTAAAAAATGCCTAATATTGGATTTAACATATCGAGAACAAAGTATGTATATACAATCAGTCACGAAAGTCTTCATACATTCCCTAAAAAGGTCATTTTCATCCTTTGTGGACGATCGACATATATATTATTCATATCACAGCCGACTGCAGTATTAGCCATGCTGAACGAGAAACAGGAAAACCGCGAGAGTTTGATTTTGCACTTGCAATATAAAATGGGACTCTACACTGTAGAGCCGTAGAGTCTATAGCTTTATTGTCTTTCACCCAGCCTTAACCCAGCCTTGACGTACTCACATATACAGACAGGACCGTGGCTAAAATTTACAGCACCCTGATGCAACTCTCAATTTGTTGCCATGAATTAAAAATAAATGTGACCAGTGTTTTAAAATATAAATCATTGTGTACCAACGACGTACTTGTAAAATGTGTATTCGTACTTTATTTATTATTCCCATGTATGAGTGCATATATGTATATTATTTCAGGTATCACTTGTAACATATGTGGCAACGTATAACCATTACTACTGGCTACTGCCAGCCTCTCCCAGCCTCTGCTGGCTTCTGCTGGCCTCTGCTGACCTCTCAGAGGCTTTGCCAGCATGTGCGGGTCTCTGCTTGCCACTGCTGACTTTTGTTAACAACTTCTGACATGATGTATATATGTTAAAGCTTTGTATAATGTAAATCTATGGCAATAAATGATATAATTTCAAAGAATTTTATGTGTTCTCATCATTTTCACCTTTCTTTTCCTCTCCAAATCATTCCCTTAGTTATAAGAAACCGTTTTTCCAGTTAAAACTGTGTGTGACCCATCGGTGGTACATGATTTGCACAGGTATCTACAGGACATTCCACGACAAACTTGGGCGTTTTAGCACCAGAGGGTTTGAGGTTGTAGGATTATACTCTCGATGTGTAACGAGGCGTGGCCTACTACCGCCGGAATACCAGGATGGATACTGGGTGGAGAAAATACCGCCGTGCTTACTAGAGCAAAGACTTTATTATACGAGGAATACTCCGGAGTCCGGATCACACACGCGCTTCTTCTCTGGCCGCTGGCACGCAAGAGAGGAGAAAGTTCTCCGTTCGCACGCGGCTAGTTGCACGACGCTAGCGCCGCGGCAGTCCCTACAAGGTCGAAAAATGAGCGCCATCTATCGTTGAAAATAATGAACTATTTCACGACAAATTGGGTGTCTTGCCGTAGAAGGATGTGCAAATCATGTACCACCGATGGGTCACACACAGTTTTAACTGGAAAAACGGTTTCTTATAACTAAGGGAATGATTTGGAGAGGAAAAGATAGGTAAAAATGATGAGAACACATAGAATTCTTTGAAATTATGCCATAAATTCATTTGTTGCCATAAATTTACATTACATCATGTCAGAAGTTGTCAACAAAGGTCAGCAGTGGTTAGCAGGGGCCAGCAGAGGCCAGCAGAGGCTGGAAGAGGCTGGCAGTAGACAGTAGCAATGATTATACGTTGCCACATATAACAGATGTGATACCTGAAATAATGTACATATGTACGCTCATACATAGGAATAATAAAAAAAAATTATTTTGTCAGTAATTAAAAAATTTCACAAAATTTTGTTTTCATGACGGGTACTCTGCTTATGTCCGTGTACATACATAGCTCGGAAAGTAAAAATGCCTGGGCAGACGAGAATCTCGACTTGAGATTCCAAATCGTATGCCGTTGACAGGAGGTCGGATTTCTATTGTTCAAGAGCAAGAAGACAAATGTGAGCCTATCTCTCTCGACTCCCACGAGGCGGTCTGAAATGACTTTAGTAGCTTCGGAGAATCGAGAAAGAGAGCATGTGTCAGTTTGCCTTTGTCGACTGTCCGAAACTCGTATGAGCTCACGTACGCGTGATCTGACATAGCGGGAGAAAGTGCCTTCGGTGCACTTCTGGCATCTCTGCCTACGGCCTACGACTCCGTTAAACGCTAAGGAAGTTCGTCGTTACTAGTGTCGCCATCGAACACTCAATTATACCAAATCTAGCCACACTGGTTGCAACGACGACTCCATGTGTAAAAAAGAAACAGAATAAACCTAGGCCTTTCCGTCGAATCACAACTGTATACATACTCAGAATTATCGCTGTGCCTTTCGATCGTATACTGACAGGAGATGTACATAGTAGGTATGTACATAGTGTAGACATTTCGACTGTATATAATAATAATTCCATAAATATTTATAACTGTTAATACGAGGGGAAAGGTATACTTATTGGGACTATCCATCAATATCTTTAATTAATGAAATATTATTTTAACATATATTACAAATATACAGCAATTCAAATAAGAAAATTCTATAAAAATTTCTCAAAAATAACACTAGACACGCGCGCGCACACATATACACACACAATTGTTTAGGCCTTGTGATTTTTTATAAGAACACATACATTATACTAAAATCCTATTTTTAATGGAAGTAAATCACTGGTCCTTTTGGGAGTAAACTTAGTTTAATGATGAATGTCAAAATTTTCAAATTCTGTGAAAACATATCTAAGATAACAGGAACTAGACTTAGTTGACGCGTCGAAGATAATCAGTCTGTGGTAATTGAGAAGAAATTTCTTTACTGCTTTGAGTGTTTACTCTGACATTTCTTGCTGTGTTTCTCCCTTTCTCCTTGTATAAATCTTTCCTAGTTACAAATTTCTTTTATATAGCAATAGATAGACTAACATCCGACAATTACACGTATCACGATGGTGGTTTCTCTAATGATATATTGTGATCTAAATGATCGCAGTGTATAGGACATTGGTGATAAGATACTGCGCTTGCATGACCCGATCTTCCCGAAGTCATAGGTACTCCTTGCTCCCAAATATCTTTTGCAGGATCGTAAATTTCTACGATGTTTAAAAAATGTTCTCCGTCGTATCCTCCTGAAAAAAGATAGACAATAAAGTATTCAATGACAACGTTATAAATGTAATGTAAAGTAGAATTTGTGTATTAAAATTCAAAAGTTCTTACCCATTGCATATAATTTTCCATCTAGTACAGTAACACTGAGCGCGCTACGAGCAATAGTAACGCTACTAACGTACTCCCACATATCTCGTTCCGTGTCATACCTTTCGACGGAATTTAACTGCTTATTTCCATCGTATCCTCCTACGACATATATGTACTGGCCAAGACTAGCTACCCCTACTCCTGAACGACTACATTTCATCGACGAAACCATCGTCCATTCATCGTTTTCAGGGTGATAACATTCCACCGAATTCAGTCGATTTGTACCATCGAAACCACCAATGGCATAGAGTAATCTGTTACCATTATGATTTATATGAACGTTGCAATTTTATTTAAAAATTTTCAAGCATTAAGTTACACAATGTAATTACATATTAGTTTTACCTATTAACCATGGCTACTCCGACTCCCAATCTCTTTATGTGCATTGGTTTTATATGTGTCCACGAATCTACATCTGGATCATAACATTCGACGCTACTATGATATTCTGCACCTGCACTACCTCCAACAGCATACAATAACCCGTCCATCACAGCTACTCCTACACGATTTCTTGCCACAGACATTGGACTACAAGGTCTCCACTGATCCGTTACAGGATTGTATCTATCCACCCAATCGCTATCGTATCTGTGAATTTAACAAAGAATCATCAATTTCGTATACATCCTTATATTGTTTCACCTTCCATATGCTCACCTACTCTCGGGTGAATTGTTTCTGCCACCGACAGCATAAAACATGCCTTTCAAGAAGGCTCCGCCCAAACCAGATCTAGGAACAATCAACTTCGCGTGTTGCGTCCACGTCTTGTCATCTGCATTATACCCTTCCAATACATCTAGCGAATGTATTAAAAACCCACCCGCAATATATATTACCCTTCGAGTATTCGGTGTTCTTTCTTTTACCACTGGTTTCTTGTGAAGAGTCAGATCTTTGAAGACTTGAGCTAGATATTCCCGGCATGCAGGTACTTTTTTTAATACGTCACAGTTTTTCATTTGTTCCCGTAAAAAGTTTGGAGTCAGGTACTGACACCTTACAGCATGTAATATATGTTCCATTTTAGGTCCTCTCGCTTCTTCGTTATACTTTACCCACTTTAACACAGCATTGTACACTTCTCTCTCTTCTGCCACGTTTAGTTCATCCTTTCTCACTAGTGCTATCAGTTGTATTGCCGACAATTGCAGAAACTCCTCTTCCTGACATATTTGACTAAAATGTTGAACAATAAACTGATTCGCTTTTTGGTTTAAACTGTGACAACCATGTTGTTCAGCAAAATTTGCAATTCCAATAGCATTTGTGGGATCTAATTGTTTTTCCAGAAAAACGCAACACGCATCTATGACATTACTAACCTGCATTGTACATAGTAATTAATACACATAGCAGAAATATATATAATTTATACGTAGCATAATTCGATACCTGGAACATGGTGGCCGCCGATAAAAGTGAACACACAGTAATCTCTGTAACCCTTATTTGACCAGTGTACATAAAATACATTAGACGTGCCATAGTTGTTGGACAAACACCTTGAAGTTTTACCCTAGTCATTTCAGATTCCTTTAAACCTCCCGTAAACATTGCCTGTAACATTACAAGTTATGTAACAAATTCGAAAAAATAAAATTAGTATTTACTTAGATTTTAAAAGTTTCAAATTACAAAAATAACAAAAAGTTTAGAGGTTTCGAGCATCACATCCATACTTTATACGAATTATTTCTAGACACATTTACGCAAATTACCTTAAAGTATGGACTCGCAGCAGCTAAAATAACTTTGTGTGCATAGAGAAGTTCTGATCCTACTTCGAGTATGACATCAGTGAGCATATGATGACTACGCATTATGAACATCATTTTCATGGCATCTTTAATATAATTAGTCATATAAAATGTCATGTCTCCAAGGTCTCCATGTTGTTCTGTTCCTTCCAAATCTTTTTCATCGTCTGTCATGAAGAACAAATTGGATCCAACATTTGGTGATTGGAAGCTACTTCGAGCTCCTTTCCTTGCATAACGATCTTCTTCATCCATTAAAATAAACTGAAAAACATTAACAATATAACAGAGAACATCATCCTTCCTACATATTATCCGTTGATAAACAAAGTTTTAATTGTTATGAGATTAATGCATATTTGTAATTTACTTTCTTGGAAACGATTGCAAAGATCCCAATGCAAGCAGACACTTACTCAAATGATTGAAGAGCCCCTGGTGGTATATAGTAATGTCAATTACCAAAGGAACTTGTTGTCCAATAATTTTCTCGATGCAAACTAAATTATGAGGGGGGGAAAAAGGTGCGACCGTACGATCATAATTCGACGCTTAATTCATTGATGTTGCACGATGACGCAGGAATTAAACAAATACACTGGACTCCGTCTTGATAAATACGATATATTGCTGAACATGGGCACACGTCAAACACAGAATTAACATACGCACGTGCTTCTACAAGATCTTGAACACTGACAGTTTTCACCTTTCTCAAGAAACAAACATTAGACGTTCATTTTATCACTGCACAACATATATATACAGACTATATCCTTCTTTTCTAATGAATTGTCATGTGTAATGATCACACCTGCACGTCGAAAGAGGTCGTTGATGAATTTGCTTGCCTATTCCCGATCGGCTTCTCAACAATGAGTCTGTAAACCACCCATGCTCGACTCATTTGTATACAACGAATCAGGAAACAGAAGGTAAAAAAGGCGCGATAAGAATGAACAAGAATTAACGCACCAAACACAAGAGAAATATCTATTTAGGTATCGCTATAGCAGCAATGGTAAGCGAACGAAGACGTAATTGAAAACTGATGACACCAAAAGCCGCGCATAAAACAGTTACGAAGGAAAGTTCGACCGTGAAACAGCACTCGTGATCGTAGGTGATGCGGATGACTTGCAAATTCTTTCGTTCGCTTATTCTGCTCGATGAAGTACGTAGCTATCGCGTCGCGCGTTGACTCTGTACTTTTTCAGACCACTCATTCTGTGCACCTTTGAACCACCGGTTCCGGTGATTTTTACATCTCACGTTTCAACTTCTAGATCATTGGGCGGTGTACCATCCGCTATTGACGTTCTTCGTTTATTACCGACTTGAGAATTGTTAAAAGTAATTTGAATATATAAAATGCTGTAACGATAAAGCTGGATATTATTAATGCATTAAGAATATTAATCGTACGAAAATCATAAAATTTCGTTACACGATAGTAATACGAACGTCGTAAAATAAATAATTAGTCATGAGTTTACGTTTCGTAGAATTAAGATTTATGTACAGTCCTCCGCTGACTTGTAGTCTCGCGGGACGACACAGGGTTAAAGGGAGTCGGACCGCCCATTTATCTATTTCGCTCTCTTGCTCTCAGACAGTCCACATGTGTGTGTAACTGCCACAACGAATAGCGAGCTAGAGATCAATGTGTGCGTGGGTATCCCTTCTACTTCTCCCGCATTCCTTCCGCGAGACTTCAAGTCAGCGGAGGACTGTACCTACATTCCTCTTCTTATGTTCACGTAATTCAGCGTAATCCGTCGGTAAACACAATATACAGTAATGATGTATCATGATTAGTAATGGAATGTATTCTTAAATCCTAATAAGCATGAATCTAGTACATTGGAAAGCGAATGCGGTCTTTATAAGTGAAATCGTAGTTTGACAGAATATTAAACATTCAATATTCATTTGTTTTTGTGGACGTTTCGATTCTTGTAAAATTTCTTCAGGAAATAATAATTTGTATTGTAAGTCAGTTTTTTATATTTAATATTTTGAACGTTTTTTTTCATTGTTAGGGTGAATTGACGTATCGTAGAATCATTAATCATTTTTCTTATGGTACAAATGTTTCCGTGATTAAAATAATACAAAATTTTCTTTGTCACCACTCATGATAGTTTATTTAAGGTTTATAAATAACATTAGAAGCGATAGTTATTTTGAGACAATATATTTATTTCTTATTAATATGGAGTTTTCAACAATAACAGTGTAATAGTAGGTGTAACAAGAGAGACGAGGTAGGTTACGAGGAACCTAACCTAATACCGTACGCCAACAAGTCACCGCGATAACAGAATATTAATGATTGTTACAACTACATATGTTTCTCTACTTTATGACCTAAAACAGTTACTATTTCACTAAAGTTGCAATCAAACGCAGATTCTGCAACTTTAATGTAATTCGAGTACTAATGGACTTCAAATACTATTATCTCCCAAATTAGAAGCACAGTAACTGTGCGATATTAACTAAACTGTACTTAAATTAATGAAAATCAATATATACAGTATGAAATTCCAATGGTAGTATAATTTTATATATCTTAATCAACAAATCTTGAGCATTGCATTCTATGCAATTAATATGAATGCACTACCATGCTGTACAAAGTTTTGTAACAGTGGTCATCGAACATTACATTTTGTAAATGTTAAGAATCTTGCTTTATGATGTGATCAAATAGTTTATATGCATAGAATACAATGATTCTGTACTTTTTGTTTTAAATTGTCATTTTTATTTATGTTTTTTGTTTAAAATCTACCTTAATTTGTGATATAGTTCTTATAACACAAAAATAGTTTGTGCTTAAAACATGTTGTATTAAGCAATGAATTAAAACAATTTATTGTAAACCTAAACAAGACAATTTTGTTTGATCATAGTAAGTTTTTATAGGGAGCTTACAATTTTTCATAGTTTATGTACGCATGTTATTCGAGTTTTGTTGATAAATTTTGAAAATTTGAAGAAAGTTTGTTAGTGAAATGAGATTCAATGTGGTAATAATGTTTGGCAGCATTTTGAAATCAATGTAACAATAGTTGAAATTATGGCAGTGCTTTGTAGTATTTAATACTCTTATTGCCATTAAAGATGGAATTAATATATTATAGCTCATACGATGCTAATAATAATATTTAAGTACTAGTTATTTCTAAGAACTGAAATTTAAAAGTTTATTTTAGACTTATCAAGCAGTAATAGCTTCTAGTCTTTTTTTATGGCAATTTCCTGCCTTTATTTAAATTTTTTTTTTTTTATGTAATTTTATATCTATCGCTTCTATTTTATGCATTTTATAAACAATTTTGCATTCAGATAATACGTTTCAAATAGTATCTGCTGTTTTCAAAATTAGTGCAAGTACTTTATAATGTTATTTTAGTTATTGGAAAGAACAGAGCAATAAAAGGTTCAACAGTTTATATGTAATTTAATCAAAAAATTGTGTTAAAAATAAAGTATATTTATTTTTTAAATTAAGTAGGCCGATTTATACTTTTAAGCATTAAGAATAATTATTACTAACAAGATAATTTTGTGCAATAATTTTTGAATTACTTGTTTGTTTTTCTTTATTTGTTAGCACAAATAAAATTATAAGAGGTTGCATATTTTTGCTCTAATCTTTCCATATAAATGTTCCAACTGTATAGGTTCTTGTTGGCGCACAATGAAGTAGGGGGCTCAACCTTTAATTCAGTGCAATAATGTCTCTTCAGGTATCTAGTAGAAGACATGTATGTACAAGGAGTTTCAGGATACAGATTTGTATTATACACGCTGGAACAAATCATAAAGAGAACGTATGATCACTACTGAACTAAATTATTGGTAGAACCCACTTATCGAGAATTACAGCTATAATTAATTTAATAAGTCTATCTTTGATTTATTTAGGCTTGGGTGACTCTAAACTGGCCCCCTATATTTGTATTTTGATTACTTCCTGAATAAATTGCAATCAATTTTTACGCAAATTAAACATTTTTCCAACCGAAAAAGACACAGAAAAAACATCGACACGTTTGTCATTTGTAACTCGCAATCGATGAGTCAGATGTAAGGTACTCTGAAAAATTTGAGAGATAATAATGTAGGCGCATACGTATGCGTTGATGATGCAAATGATTCAAATGAAAACGGACTAATTAATGCAATTATCCAGGACACTTTCATCGGTAGCAGTCATGTGTTATCATGCAGTAAAATTGAAACTGAAAAGTGCACGCAATTGCTAAAGGAAACACTTGTTCGCTGTAGAAATTGAAACGTGAAGTTCCGACGTTCAATGAAATTCACACAACATACATTCACGAGAGTCTACTCCTTAACACTTTCAGCAATTTAATTATAAGTCCGAATACAGCAGTCTAGCGAGAAACTAAATAACTATCTCTATGTAATTGTAATATAGTGAATTGTTCAGAATACAATAATGCTATTCAAGTAAAGAATTGGGCGGATCGACTACTCCTAAGGCCTCGCTCATGAATTATTTAAAATTAATTTAGTCCCACACATTCACACTACAGTCTAAGTTTGATAGCAGGATTAAACGAGAGATAAATCACTTTCGTTCGATTGAAAGGATTTCGTCGTTATAGGAGAAACAGAACCAGGATACGAACATCAATCGATAACAGTAGTTTTCAATTCCGACGATGTCTCGCGTGCAATTCCTGAATAAACTTCTCACCTATCAGTCTAACAAACCGACAAAGGGTACGCTTTCGTGTGGATACAGCAAACATACGATTACCATGTAATCTAAGATTATTTTCGGAATAATAATCGTGATAATCACGCAGTGAAGTCATGAATAATGAATCGCTATGAGCTTGCATGTTTGCTGATTACGAGTTCCCTGTGGTCGGTACAAAAATGACTCGGTCGATTAAAATTTCATCCGCCTGTAACATTTTTTTCTTCAAAATGAGCGCGATAGTTACGAGATTATGTGTATCTTCGTAGTAAGTGGTCATTCTACGCCGAGAGTCCTTTGAGCGAGTCTCTCCCTCCATGATCACGATTAAAATGGCAGTACGCTATCCGTTTCAACAAAATTCTGTAGACCAGCGGTTTATTAAACATTTATCTTTGTCCTATCAATAGAATTGTCGAATCTCCTGTATGCGTTTCATCCTGAATCTACTAGTAAATTTTTCGGTAAGGTTTAAACCTAAGAAATCCCGCCTTAGACGCAAAGATTCAGTGGTTGGTCGAAGGATGAATACGTAGGAATCGATGGCGGACAATTTTCGAGATCAAGATAAAATGGAAAGCCTCTATTGGTGAATGCGCGAGGTCCAGTATTACGTGCAATTACCTTGATTTTTAAATAAAGTTAAAAGGCATATCAATATAAAGTTTATGGAATATGTTAATAGATAATTGAAATGAAGTTGAGAAACACGGCAGTGCATAATATTAAACACCATTACAATCAAGAGAGACTCACCCAGGCTGACGGTTAATGTAGAGTTAAAATGCCAACAAGAAAATATTTTAGTATTCGTTCAAGTTCGCTACTCGTTAAGACATTTCTACTAAAGTTTATAGCACTTTTTTCTTTAATCAACATATCCTATTATATTATCAATGTACGCAACAACGTGAATAGACAAAGAGATTCTTCGTTCTTCGTAAATCTCTCTCTCGTTATTACACGACCCCCGCAGATTGCCTATGTTTTAAACATTTTTTTTTTTTTGTTTTTGGCTTTTGTTAAATTGTCGGATTCTTCTACAAATTGACCTATAAATCTGATATTGCTTAAATCAATCAAAGCCCCTCAGAGGCAACGATCCTCGAAGTTCTGTTGCTTTCAAGAACTCTTAAAGCGGCGCGTCGATCTATCAAGGAGGATGTAAGTCGCGATGATGAGCCCTGGCACTTAAAATAGCTTTCAATTCAGATTCTAATTGTTTTTTGGTTCGTTCGCTTACCGATCGGCCTCCCACCACCGGTTGCGCGGTTAATCTTGGCGATGGTAAATCGGCCATCAGTTTACCACTGTCTCTGTTTTCGTGACTTCTAGCGCGTCGTATAGGCTTCTTTAACGGCAACGCGTCGTCTTTAATTTTCTCGTGCGATGGCCGTTCCAAAGACAATGTCATTTCTTGGTTTAAAGTGTACGACGAACCGCCTCCGACGGCTTCGGTGGATCTGCTGAGATCGACGGTTCCGGAGCCCCATTCACGAGACGGCTTTCGTCCGACGGTTGACGTTAATTCGTTATTCGGGGATAACAAGGGACTCTTAGACATTTGATAGCTAGACGAATGGGGTGGTCTTAAAGTAGCGAATACTGGGAAAGATTGTCCTCGTTTTGCTGGACTTCGAGAGTATCTCGGTGTTGGCGCACCAGCTCCACCGGTTTCACTCTTAATCGTGGTAGTTCCGGTCGAGTCGCTCCTAGTCGGAGCCAAAGGTCGTAACGTTGCACTACCTCCAAAGTGCGAACCAAGACGTGGAGGTGGTGAGCCACCATCACCGTGACTCAATCGCCGTCCAACGGTTTCCAGTGGACTTCTAGCCCTGAGATTAGTGCTGCTTAGTGTGAATTCTCTCGGTTTCATTGGGGTTTCCAAATTTATAGGGGATAATCCGAGCCTAGAGCCCGACAGATTAGTTGAACTTCTACTTTTCTCAGACCTTTTTGGGCTTCGAGGCATCAAAGGGCTTTTACTTCTACTCCTTTCGCGTCCTTTGATTGTGTTTTCATCTTTCTTAAATGTCGATAATTTCTCATGCTCCTCCGCCACTGTCTCGATCTTCTCTTCTTGTTGGACTCTGTGAAATCGAAATGACCAAATTGTTACTTACAGTGAAGAGCAAAACCGAACCAATAATATATTTCGTGAAAATTAATATTTATTATCGTACGCAATGGACAATAATAGAAATGAATATAACCAGTGTACTTGGATAATTTTGTAATGTTTAAAATGTTTGTTTATTTACAATGATAGAAACTAATAGACTCAATTTTGCATCGTATTTCGAGTAAGTTCTTCAATTTATAGCAACGTATTAATATTTTTTATAACATTTCTCATCACAGAGAAACTTAAATTTAACGTTTTGCCAATATTTTAATAACTCTAAACTAAACTAAAAAAAACTAAACAAATTTTATTTATTTCCCTGTGTATCTTGGTAGCTATGGTAAATTGAGAGATGTAATTATGCCCTTATAATTGTGATCAAGATATACAAAAACGAGTAACTGTAAAAAGTTACTACTGTGCCAATACTTTCTTTACCCACTTTTTACGAAGATCGATAATATTTTTTAGAAAACGTACGGTTATTGGTTAAGTTGTGCTCACCGCTGCAATTTGCTCGATTTAAATCAAAAGAAAAATTTTAACGAGTCTTTAATTACCTTCGAATTTCCTGAATCATCTCGAAGAATTGAGCTTTACTTTTGCGTCTCTGGCGCTGTTCGTGTTCCTTCTAGAACATGGACACCTTGTAGATATATGAAGGAAAGGTAACAAGATTCAGAAAGAAAAAAAATCACTTACTCGTTTAACGCTTTTTTGGAACAGGGAAGCAATTTGTCCTTGTCGTACTGTGTGAACTAATTCCCTCGCAGCATGATGCGGCGATACCAGTTCCACACAATTGATGAATCTGTACAGTTTTTGCGAGAAAAACATGACATTACGGCTGCGCCATATAGAGTCTTCTGGCCTGTGTCTTAATCTAGGCAAGGTGTATTTGTAAAACAGGTGTTCTCCAGCTAGTATAATTGTACCAAGTACAACACCCATTCCAAGTAAACAAAATACACCGGCTACAGACGCCACACCCAAAGGTCTGGGTTGTCCACCTTGTTCGTGTTGAAGACCCGTATCCATATCTTCTCTTCCTCGAATACATGGTAAACCACCATACCTACAACGTTCAACAGCAGTTTTTAAAATTTTAAACTAATGATTTAAAATCCAAATTCTTTGCGTTCAGCAAAGAATCAAAGGAAAAAGAATCAGAATGCGTGGATAGTTACCATTTTTCTTGTAAAATATCGAGTAAACCGGTACTCGTATAATTCGCTATCACTTTGGATATACTTTCTTTCAAAGGATGGCCTTTTGTAAGCGCAACAGCGTACATGTCCTCGTTTATAGTGTCTCCGATTTTTTGTAAACGGCAGCCGTCGTCTATTGCTCGATAGTAGTCCAAAATAGGAGTGTCTGCTATAAGAATATCTAAACTACCATTTCTTAGTCTTTCTACACCTTCAGCGACATTTGCTAACGAATATCGTGCCATGTGCGACCACAATTGTGGGCTTGCTTTTTGTACATAATAGTCGGCCGCAGATGCTCTCGGCGCGCCGACTTTCTGCAGCAGTAACTGTAATATCATTTACCGTTAAGACGAGAAATTCGTGTAAATGTGTGTACAATGAGAATTATAAATTTGTTTGCAAATACTCACGCTTTTATCGTCATAATTGCTTACTGCTGAATGAAAAAAAAGGCCCGCGATCAGGGCAGCTATATTGGCTGTATAAGAAGCCACGAAAATAACAGAAAAACCTCCCCAAATGTTGATTAGAAACTTGTTAGGCCAAGATTTTGGAGCTTTGAAGGCAACCAGATGCCCGCACAGAAGACCCCACATTACCCATAAAGCAGAGGCAATTGAAAAATTCTTGCTTCGTTGTCTGCCCCAGGGATTCAAACCGAAGGGGCTGAACCATTCATACAACGCTACTGCTATGGCAGTAAAGTTTAGAAATGTGAAAACAGCAATCCATAGTTCCGTACTGAATGGAAAAAGAAATGCAAATAGTGATATTTCGGATTTCAGCTTTGGCGCCGTGAGAAAGCTTACTCCGCTGAAGAAGTACGGTGTCGTGAAGTCAACTACTGCGGCTCTATGAGCAGACACGCTTAAAGGCGCGAACGCCAGTTGCGCTCGACCAGAAACCAATTCTCCCATAATACCATTCCATGGACCACTTCTACCGTTTCTTTTTCCGAATAGACCGTCTTTCACTAGATATAAGTCGTATCGAAATCCTAATTCACGTGATACCAAGGACATCAAGTCTATACTTAAACCGTAACAACACATCACGATATTTCCTTGGCGACAAAATATTCCTCTGAGACAAAGACCTTCTTGCAGGTTCGTTACCGTAGTGAACGGTGATGCAAGTGCCGTCACGACACGGTACATGGGCATGCCAATTTTTTCACCGCCTTGTTCAAGGTACGCGGGTACAATTCCACCTCCGGGCCAGATGATGGTATCGAGATGAACCTCTTTTCCACCTTTAACGGTCCCCACTTTGGTCCATCTATAACAGGAAGAATAAATGTAAATCAAAATATACTTAATTAAACAGTAGTAATGTTTGAACAAACCTCAATTGCGTCTTATTTCCAGGGAACCTTATTGCTTGCAAATTCAATAATTGGAATTTAGCTTTGTCTTTGGAAATTTGACCTACAGAGTTCCTCAATTTCTGAGTCAAGATCTTGGAAACATTACTTCTCATTTCACTTGTTAAAAATTTTGTCCTTCTTTCTGGAAAACATTCTGGTATAAAGTTTTCTTCAAGTTGTGACTCTCCTAGACGATTTAACTTAGCTTTTACTTCTACAAAAGTTTCATCCAAAGCCTGGGATGTTTCTCTTATCATTCTGGATAGTATCGTATCACTACCCATTAACTTTAGGCCAGAAGGTCTCAATGCAAGCATACCGACTGGCATAAAATCTTTCGAATTTAATTCTTTATCCGTCATTACAAACTCTTCATCGTCGTCGAAACTAAAACTTTTATCTTCCTTGTTAACTACAGTTTTTTCATTCTGCCATCTGTATTCTTGTAATCGATGTATATCGTTAGCTAAACTTGGTAAAGCATGTAACGTTAATTGGTTTTCAGATATAAGGTTCGCGTTTTGATTTATGTTTTCTATTGGCACAGGATTTTCAATTGTAGCAATCGATGCTCTCGAACTGTGTATAATATGCGAACTGATTATATTTGGTTCATTAGGTCTTAATTCTGCCTTAAGGTCTAGCCAGAGCCATAAAAATCTTCCCGCGAGCATTTCAAATTTACCAGCAGCAGCAATTATCCTTCGTGCATTATTCAAATCACAAGCCATCACTATGACTCCACCACTTCCTCCTTCTTCTGCTACTCGTCTGAGTCTCATTCTTAAGGTCTTGTCATTTGTTGGAAGGTATATGATTGTTCTCGGTGTTAAGGTAGGCTGATTAGATTGTAAAAGATGAGCAACTGGGAGTAAAGTGGTATCAATGAGAAGAGTAAATGCATGCCAGTTTGCCCTATGCATTAAAGCAGCTGCAGCTGCCCCTACTTCTTTTGTACTCGAGCCTATGCGACTTTCAAATTGCCCAAGATTTCCCTGTAAAGTATAATAATTTTTGACAAGTTGTATGCAAATTACCTTACTAGAAAGGTAAACTCAAACAGACCTGACGAAGAAAATCTTCATGTGTAAACGGTAGCCATAGTGCTGGAAGATTTAAAGCAGCTGCAGCTGTCACAAGAAATCTGGCTGCTGATCCTCCTCCGATAATGAGACTCAACACTGTCTTTCCACTTTTAATTTCAGTACAGAATTTATTCAGTAACGATAGAGGATATGACAGTGAATCTATCTTTGGTGGTGCCTCTATATAGGACACATTCATATCCGCATGAGATGACTCTAGCCTTGCTTTTTCCCATGCCTTTTGAATATCTGTCTTAAAAGAGCTTTGTGATTGCGTCAAGCATAACACAATGCGCCACGAAGCATAAGATGTTCGAAGTCGTCCCTTGAGAGCTCTCATAGACCTGCTCGTATTTGTAGTGCAGGAGGCTATCGAGCAAAATGAAACTCCCAGTAAAAACAAAAATACAACTTTCCAAGAGAAGCCGAACATCTTCAAGTTTTCTGTACTTTTTCTCTTCATTGTTCACTTAGCTTTCTTGACTATTATCCATATAAGGTTCTAATCTATAATTGTGACAGAGTTCAGAAATAATACTCTGTTAGTGTTAAGTAAATATAATATATGTATATATAATGGTATCCTTTGGCTACTGTTATTTGTTAACATATTATATATCAGAATTATTTTGTTGATAGTTCCATGAAATAACATTTTATATTTCTAATATTTCTGTACGAACATCGCAAAAGATTTCGTCACGCAAAAAGCTAATTGTGTTTTTATGGAGAATTTTTTTTATCTCATACTTTTAGTAACATTGCGCTTCCGTTTTTGACAGTTTACTTTTTTATAAAATTTACACATTTTTTTCAGTTAACAACATATTATGCACAAATTTTGGAAAATTCGTTTGATTAATTTATTTTCAATTCTGATATACGTTCAATTATTAAAAATAGTTTACCTTTTACCGAAGTGAATCATATGTCGTAGATTCGGGGGTGGGTGAAGAAGAGCCCGAAGATTGCTTTTTAGCCGCCACATAATAGCTATCGATTAGGTAACTGTATCAATTGTCGTAAAATAATGTCAATTGGTCAATGTGGAAGACAGGGATGAACCGTCACTTGCCCTCTTCTGGACGTCCTACCCAGTGCATAACAGCCATTTTCGAGCAGCCCCTCCCTTTAAATTTCACACCTATACTACTCGTGCATACATATATCTATATATGCAGTTTTCGCATTTGCTTCGCCATAATCATTGAATAATAATAGCAGTTTTCGTTTTTCAATTTTGAAAATGTTATATTTATTCTAAACTCCGATGTTGATGTATAAAAAATATAAGCAACCAAATTCTATAACTGAATTACGTTGTAATAATTATTAATCATTTTTATATAGTTACTATAGTTTTAGGAATTAGTGAAATGTCATTATTATTAAATCTTCAATTTTTTAAGACGACAAGATTTAGAACGGTAATAGGTTCTCAGTATTCCAATTTTCAGATGGTATAATGTGTGGTTGACCTTGAGAAAATTTTGAACTATTTATGCAAAGTAATTTAGTTTTATTGTAATAATAGGTACAGGATGTAAAAAAAAGATGTAAACTGTTTGGCCGGAAAATATCTTTATATATTTGGAATCTTCCTTAATTTACATATGCGTTATATACATACATGTTATGCCGCAGTACGCTTAATACAGTAAGTGATCTTACAAGGCTTTATATGATAAAGATGCATGTACATACACGGTAGCCATTCAAATGCAGCTTCAACTTTGCCTCTGCTATGAATCCGTTATTTTGTTGCTACAGCTAAGATAATATAGCTGGAATGTAACACGGAGTTGTCTTACAATTAAATATAATATTTTCGGGTCTTTCCGCTAGGAACTACCTTGATTTATGGACATAGATTTTATTTTCTGTAACAAGTAACAGACATTAAAATTAACTAAATAAATTTTGTTGCGACGCGTCGTTTTCGAACGTGCTCCAGGCATTATTCAGTTCCATAAAAATCAGTTTTGCTATATTTTCATTAGCCGTTCCCGCTTGCTGAAAACGTATAAAAAAATATGATATCCTTTGGATAAATATGTATCAGTACTTATACTTGAAATTAAATGTAATGTATGTGATACCTTGTCTGGATGCACAGCCAAACAAGCTTTCCTATACGCTTTCTTAACATCCGCAGCTGTAACTAATTGGTGCATTTCGCAACGTTGCCATCTGTCAGCTTCTGGCCATAAAACAGTATGCATCGAACAGAGAAGAGCACGTAAATTTCCCTTTTTACCTTCCGTCCACTCAGCTACTTTTAATCGATCTGGATCCATAGTTTTGGCAGCTTCTACTTTCCTCATTTGATTTATTGTCTTTGGACTATCCTTCTCTGCTTTTCTTGAACTAAAGAAGTTATATCCTTGACTACCCAGTAAATCCTCAAAGGCATCTCCGCTTGATTTAGTCGTTTTATTGCCAGCTGCACCGCTGTCTGCGGTATTGGTCTCGTTAGTTGCGGTGGATTTGTGCGTATTAGGACTCGAATGGATCGGCGTACTAGCCGGCGCAGGGCTAGTAGACTGTGGAGTATTTGAATTCCTCGGTGTACCATTCCAACTAGATGTTAGACCAGCCCCTAAAGAACTGGCGAGATTTGCAAATGGATCTTTACTTTGTGCTGCGAAGTTTGGAACGCTCGAATTCCGTGGAAAGTTCTCCTCGGTATTTGGAGACTTTGCAACGTTCGATTTGGCATTTTGCATATTCCCCAATAGATTTTTTGCGGAGTTTCCAGCCAATGGATCAAACAACAAATCGTTAACTTCTTGTTTAACGGTAGGTTGAGTTTGATCAAAGAATAAATCGTTTATGTTTAAATTATTATTAGTATTATCGTTCTTAGTAGGCTGATCGTGCTCAAATAGTAAATCATTCTGAACAGGATCGCTAATCGTGGGAACTGTGGTTTTTGTTTCTTGCTGAGTAAAAACACCAAAACCTCCTAAGAGATCACTTTCGTTCTGACTAGAGTTAGAAAAAATATCTAATTCTGGATTCGCTGCACGTTGCGGAGTATTTAAGGTACTGGTGTCTGGCATTCCTAGGTTCAATAAATCGGCTTCTTGGAATTTAACTTCTTCTTTTGCTTCTTCTTCTACGTTTTCTATTTGCTGAGGTACTTCTTGTTGTACGTTAACGTTATCCGGTGTTTCGACTGTCGGTGCAGCTGGTGCTTCCTTTTGAACCTAACGTAATTAGAATGTTAAAGTAATCACATTAACTGATTCAGTTCTATCGGGGCTTACCTCTTCTGATCGAGCGGTTCTAAAGTTCTCCAATGTTTCTTCCATTTCCAAGGTTGATCCAAATAACGGATCAGGTTCAAGGTTCGACGAAGATAATTCTGCTTCCCATGGAGCTGGAACTCTAGCTAATTTTGAATTCTCTTCGGCTACGGTAATATTTAAAATTATACTGAACTTGCCACCAATTTCGGGTGCATCGTCTAGATCTTTCTTCTTAAACGTTAAAGCGGATTCAGTCAAAGGTATGTAGCCCGTATGAAAATGAAACGATGCGATTTTAATTCCGATCACGCGACCAAGTTGTTGACGGGCATGGAATATTACAACAGTAACGTCCCCGCGAACCGTTGCATTACCCAATACCAAAGGAACTTTTCCCTCCATCATACCGAACAATCTCATCTCCTCGTACTCTGGTCGCTTAGTGGAGTAAACTAATGCACCGTTGCTATAGATATCAATATATGGTCGGCAACCGTCTTTCGCTCTTGTGAACAATGGTACTGGTTGTATAATTAAAGTTCGAAGCGCCAATGGTTTCGTATGCGGATGTACACCACGACTCAATAAGCTCATGTAATTAATACTGCGCAATTCTGAAGGTTGTAACTGAGGCGGCTGACAACGTCTTGTCGTAAACAATGCTATCGCCTCTTCGGGGGTTGTTAATGCTTTAGCATAAATCAGTAATGTACACGCAACTGTAGCACTTGCTCGATATCCGTCCTAAAATTACATAATCAAAGATATCTCTTAGTTTGTACGCGTTCGTACATTATTTGAAATATACTTACAGTACAATATAACACTACAACGTGATTGAAGTCGGCGTTCAAGTATCGATAAATGTCTTGACATATTTGATATAATGCAGATAGTAAAGGAGCATTTGAGTCCGACGAAGCATAGGCGAATGAGCAATCAATATGTCTACCAGAAAGCCTAGATACGTTTGGCCGTCCACGAGATAAATTGTATAACTGAATTCGAGCGGGAGGTGGATGCCGGGCTTGAAGAAAAGCTCTAACATCCTCCACATGATTGGCTCGATAGGCGGATTCTATTCCATCCGCTGGATAGGGCATTATTAGTATACGAGACGTTAAGTAACTTGCATCCAATTCAGTTCTAGCCATGCTTTGCTGCACGGAATGCATCACTTTACTCGAGGTATCCTTTAAGTTACGTAGAATACTACCAGCACCACCTCTTAACGAACTAAATAGGCCTGTTGGTTGAGCTACCGGAATTTTTGCCACAGCCGTTTGAGCCGGCGCAGGTCTTGGAGGTGGCATATTAACTGGAGGAGATGGTCGCGGTGGCGGAGTAGGTGTACTAGGTGGTGGAACCGGTCTAGGAGGTGGCGGAGTTTTAACTACGATTTCTACTTTTGGGGGTTCTCTGGGATCGAAGTTGTTAGATTCGGCTATTGCTGCAAGACGTTCCAGAATCATTGATGTTGCAAATCTTCGAACAGGAGACACATCTAAACATCCCTTTACTATATCATGGAGACAGGCTAAACGAGGATTGGCAGGAAATGGTGGATAATTGCCATTAACAATCGCAAGTTTGTTACCTGTAAATACAATAAAAACGTCAAAAATATTGACTCTATCCCTCGCATAAATTCAAATGCACACCTTCAGGAAACGGATGCCTTAATGTTATTAAGGAATACAAGATACAACCCAGTGCCCAACAATCAACTGGTGGACCAATAGGCTCATTACTCCATGTATCCATCATTTCAGGTGCACGATACATGGGTGTTGTATTTTTTGCCATTTGATCTTCTAATGTAGCACGTTTCTGAGCATTCCATGATGGATTTGGTAAAATTTGTTGAGAAGAAACACTTCCAAAGTCACAAAGTTTAACCAGACCATCGCTTCCAATTAAAAAATTTTCTAGCTTTATATCTCGATGTATAAGCGGTTCAGGCTGTTGACTGTGCATATAATGTACAGCCTTTGTTGCCTGGTACGCTATTTTACAAATTTGGGCAAGATTCAACGAATTTGGCGGCAAATTTCTCAGTAAATCTGCTACTGTCCCACCTGGACAATATTCTGTCACCAATAAATACTCATATCCATTACGATCCTCGCGTTCCAAACGCTGAGCATATACATATTGAATTACATTTGGATGGCCTGATAGCCTTTTTAAAGTCTCTATCTCTTGTATACTTTTATTGTTAGCTTCTTCGTCAACCGCAATGAGCCTCTGCAAATATAGACATATGTCACAATAAATTTGGAATTTGCTATGCATATAAGATAAATATAATGTTGCTTACCTTAAGTGCATACTCTTTTCCTGTTTGAATATCTTCTACCGCAAAAACCAAAGCCCAGAAACCTATTGGCACAATATTAGTCACATATTATCTAAACATTAACAATAATGAATGTCTTTAAAACAACCACAAATTTTCCTTTAATAATAAAAAGCAAAATAATGCAAATACAAGCGACAGTATGTTTTTTAAATAAAACACAAAACTGTGTAATTTTTCACCTTTGTAACATTAAATATAAATTACATACAAATAACATGAGTTGCAATATTGAACTTTTTATATATTAGTAGCTAATCATTATGTATGAGGTATTTGAATGTACATCAATAATTAATTTTTTTTCGGCCATGTCTGGAAATATATTGTAACAAGTATGTATTATGATCTCTAATGGTATGAAAGGAATATGAACTACATCTGTTATCTCTTAGAATGTGTCTCCTTCATAGAATTCCAATCAAACTTCATATGCTGATAAGTTCATTTGATCGGGAAATTTTGTTTGCACTTGTAATGCACAACTATATGTCAAAACAAATTTGACACATGTCAAAAAGTTTGATAGGTCGCAATGCTGGCATAATGTACGCGATCATTTCATATTGTGTTTAGATAATACAGTGTGAAACTGATACTTTACGAAGTGTTCAAGAGTAATTGTTAACGAAAAGAGACATTATTTCAGTGAAATAGTGGTAAAATGAAAGGGTTGACAGAAACTCACCCTCGAAAATTAGCCTGGTCACGCGTAATTTCACATTGTTGATTTCTAGTATTTTTCCAACGTATTCATTTGTATTTGTCGCTCCATTCAAGTATCCAAGAGCAGACTTCAAATAATCCGACATATTTCTTTATAAATATCCCTCAGAACCCCCGTAAAACGTTCACCTAAAGTTACAATGCAGACAGCCGATGCTGTCCGGCCATACTGTCTTTGTGACGTCATCACCAGTGCTGTACATACACATTTTTCGCATTGATGACTGTGAAACCATTGTTGATAAATGTCTGTTTGTATAAAATATATCAGTTTCAACGATATTAATAATATGATTGTTCCACAGACTTGTTAACGACAATAAATCGATATATGTAGTCGGGAACTACGGTGGATACAATTGTGAAATAGAGTCACTCAAACGAAAATACAGATAGTAGGATATTATGAAATGAAGCAATTAATATGTTTATATTCTATTATAGATCCGAGGACCTGTTTGCATTCTTGATTGAATATTTACAATGAAATTTATCATATTAAAATATACAGTGTACATTATAAAGTAGCATTTTTCGATGGAAGTTCATTGTTTACGTAGAAAATTCGTTAAGATAGGAAAAAGTTAATGCAAATACTTTGACGATACTTTCACCTTAATTTTGAACAGTAAACTATTTTATTATTTCGCATTAAACATACGCATGCGTGTTCCGTGGTGTATGACAAATTTCACAACTATACAATATAAACTATTATAAATATATTGTCTTTTCAATCGCGTAAATATTTTTTAGATGCTATTTCCATTGATTTAAATATTATCGACAATTAATAAGTAGTTTGTATAGGTTATTAACATAAGCGGACTTGTTCTGATTTGGAACAAACATATATATTCGTATGTTGTTTTTATTCTTCAGCCAAACAAACATACTTCATTAATTGTCATAATACTGTTCATTTATTTTCAGATATTGCCTGTTAGAAAGCTTAAAAATGCCCAAGTTGGTAAAATTTACAAAACTTAGATCTACCACGGATCACACATTTTGGGCAAAATTTGCAGAAATGAAAATAGACAAACTGAAATTGGATGAAAAGGCAGTAATTAATTTGTGGGGAAGCTACAGTCTTCAATCACCAAATGAAGACAATGTCAATCCCTTAATAATGGATTTTACATCATTCAATGAGTAAGTTTGTTACGTGTATGGTGAAAATGATTACTAGAATTTATTTATAAGTTAAGTAAAATAAGTACTTGTTGAAATCAACAACACCTAGGTCATTTTTAGAAACATAGAAACAGTTTGTCATAATTCGTTGGTAATTTGTTGCGGGAAAATGATTAATACAAATACTTATGAGGCATTTCGACAAACCAATCCTGGAACATTCATTAATGCCTTGGGAAAGGATGTTATGAACAGCATTGTAGATGGATCTAGTTTACAAATGCCATGGAAACTATCATTATTTTTAGTACTGGCATATTCAGATTTAAAGAAATATAGATTTCATTATTGGTTTGCTCATCCTACTCCAGTAAACTTACCTGAAATCTATTATGAAGAACCCTCAAGGTCAATTAACGAAGAATTTATAGTTACTCACGTAGCAGACCTATGTGAAGGATTTCTCAGACTGGACAGCAGATCAAAAAATTACTTTACAGTTTTAATATCTCGTGAAAATAATATACATATTGTTGATCTGGCAGTAGGAATAAAGTTAATCAAGGAATCTAAAGACTACGAAGAACTACAGGTATTGGTGTACTTTTATGTAACTATATCGTGTATGTTTTTTCATGTATTTAATTTATGTTTTAGGCACAAAATGAAATTTATTTTGCATTTTACGATCCTTGTACAAACACTGAACCAGGATGGCCTTTACGCAATCTCCTTTGTTTATTATTTTGGCATTGTCCCGTGTATTATTTTACAAAGCCTATTAAAGTCATATCTATAAGAGGAAACAAGGCCCAGAAAAGTATTGTTTTCAAACTTAGAGTTCAAAAATATGCAAATAGTAAAATAATAAGAGACAATTTATTTGAAAGTCAATTGGTTGGTTGGGAAAACAATACAAATGGTAAACTAGGTCCAAATATAGCCGATTTATCAGACGCTATGGATCCAGCCAAGTAATCTTTTTAAAAAAATAAATTTGACATAAATTGTATTTGTGTATGAGATTAATTATTTTCATTCTTACCATTTACTAGGTTGTCAGACAGAGCTATCAATTTAAACTTAAAGTTAATGAAATGGCGTCTCGTTCCAAATCTAGATTTAGACAAAATCAGTAATCTTAGATGTCTTCTGTTGGGTGCTGGAACTTTGGGTTGTTCTGTAGCAAGAGTACTTTTAGGTTGGGGAGTGAATAACATAACTTTCGTCGATAGCTCTAACGTTTCTCACAGTAATACTGTAAGGCAAAGTTTATACAGCCATCAGGATGCTGTAGAACATAAATATAAAGTTCATGCAGCTAGAGATGCGCTACTTAATATAAGACCAAATATGGTGAGTATTTAAAAGTTTTCTTAAATAAAATTTTATTATACAAATTATGTTAATATCATAGAATGCAGAGGGTGTGATCTTACATGTTCCAATGCCTGGGCACGTTGTTGGTAAAAGTATGATGGAATCAACGAAACTGTCACTGGAAAAATTGGAAGAACTTATTCAAAAGAATGATGTAGTTTTCTTCCTTTTGGATTCTCGAGAAGCTAGGTGGTTACCCACTGTATTATGTGCAGCAATGAATAAGATTGCTATTAATGCTGCTTTAGGTTTCGATTCGTTTACTGTACAGAGGCACGGCACTCGCAATTCTTCTATTCCGTCTTCTCCAGATTTAGACATAAAAAATCCTTTTGGTTCGGATCTAGGTTGCTATTTTTGTAACGATGTAACGCAGCCGGGAAATGTACGCATATTAAGCATTGTACTAGTTTAGTTTTTTATCAAACAGTGTTTTAATGATAATCGTTTTGTTTTATAGTCTCAAACTGATAGAACACTAGATCAACAATGCACTGTTAGCAGGCCAGGTTTGTCGCAAACTGCTGCGGGATTAGCGGTTGAATTGTTGATGGCTTTGTTACATCATCCTCAAAGGTAAATAAGAAAATAGCTCATATTTCGTTCTATATATTATTATTCATGTTTATTCTTTAACTTTTCGTATAGTTTGGAAAGCTTATTCGATCGTTTAACGATTTATTCCTATATTTAATAGTATCGAGGCAGGGGCATTAATGGGTAATAACAGAGATAATATTAGTCCAAACCACACCGAATTGTTCGGTTTGTTAGGAGGTGTGCCGCATACGATACGCGGGTCTCTGTGGAATTATGATATGCAGTTGACGATAACGCACAGATTTACATCCTGTACGGCATGTTCTGTGCCTGTCATCACGGAATATAGAAATCGTGGTTTATCGTTTGTACTTGATGCATGTAACATTCCAAACTATTTAGAAAAATTATCGGGTCTAGAGGAATTACTTAAAAGGCCCGATTTGGACGAGGTATATATTTATTAGTTTCCATGTACACAGAAACATTTATTGGTATTATTGCGCGTATATTTAATTCTTTAAATTTTAGCTATGTTACGCCTTAGATAACTTAAGCGACGGCGAGGACGATCAGTTAAACACTACGTCGTAAAAACCAATCTGTGCATTTATACGCTTTTAACTCTGACGAAAATGTCTTTGTTACATGAACAGAGCCAAGATGAACTTTACGTGATGAATAACCGAATAACTATTCGATAATGTCAGTATTTAAGGATCTAAACGAGTGAATTTTAAAAGTACAATGCTATATGCATCTGTGTTGTGACGTAACCTTGGAATTATGTTATTATAAAATATGACGTTTAAATAAAACTTTTATACAAATCGCAATGTATAAGAACGCAATACACAATGTAAGAGATTGTAATAAGTTTTTAAATCTCATTTTTATCGATTGAATAGAGCAAGCATAGGAAAATGAGCAATGTTGAATACAATATTGAAATTGCCTGGCAATGCAGAGAACAAATGTTCTTCATTACATTTAAGAATAGCTTTATTCCTCGAATCGCATCATGCACGATATAATTTCCACTACCCGGATATTCAGAAAATAAGAATGCAAGTCAAAGAACCGAAAATTTATCAATTTATCGATCAGGTTTTCTTAATCTGCATCGGTAATATTTTACTCCTAAAATTAGTTGCAGTTTTCATCGAAAAAATATTTTTTTCTGAAACATCTACGAACATAAAGAAGAAAAAGCATTGTGGCTGAAATCGCAGGCATAATCGAGGAAGGGTAACACGGAGATCGGACCATATTTACACGGAGCGTGGTATAAAGCATAGTTAGCAGTTTTGCCTGTAGAGCGCGCCTGAACAACCGAATGCCATGCATTCCAGTGTAATGTTCAAGTAGTAGGGGAAGCGAGGCTACCTCTCGTGTCAAACAGGCCGTGTTCTGCGTGTCCGCCCGCATACCATTAGATTTTCATCGTTTTCAATGAAAATACGTGCCCTATCTCAGCTTGACATGCCAGGAAACGTCGCGCCGGATGTTTGATCGTGTGTTCAAGCGAGTGTCATCGCTCAACGTTCGGTGAGTAAAAACATATTCGAAAGGGAAAAAACCGTTCGATTTTACCTCGAGGAATGCGTGCCTTGTTCTTTTTTTCCATGCTACGCCGCATTCCTTTATCGATTCCTGTGACCGACGGACGCGATACTTGAGAGAAAATGCCTTCTTTTCGTTGCTCCTCGAGGAAATGTGTTCTGAAAGTTCATCGATTATGGTATTTATAAAATCTAGCTATTCGTTTTCTTGCCAAGTTCCCTTATTCCACGGCGTTTTCACAGATTTTTTGTTCGTAACGCTTCACACCACTTGCCAAGGAGCTGAGTTTGATATTTACGCGGCACATCATTTTTTTTAGCTCGTGGTCGCCTATGTTTCTAACGTGTGTGCCCTTGTTACGCGAACTGAAACATTTTACGTTTCGTTGGTTCATTGCTTTCAATGAATTCCATTTATCGAACCACGAATTGCCGACCGCGATAATTTATAATCCACTTAACTCTGTATCAAAGCGTTTAACGATACACTCCGTGCCCCGCGTTCAAACTCTACCGATCTCTGAAATACCACTGTTCCAATTGCTTGTTCGAAGTGTTACCGATTTTCATTCGCTCGATTAATAATTACGCACACGTAACGCTCGGTTAAATTCTGATAAAAATCGAGGAAATGCTGGCGAGTATTCGGCCCGGGGGTAGGGGTAAAAGTATTTCATCAAAATTGCGAGATCGTTAGCTCCTTTTTCTCGAGGGAAAGGACACGTATTATTCCCTCTCTGTCACTTATTCCCCATATTGAAATATTTAGCTCTGTCGCTGATTAAAGAAAAAACTGTTCAAATGTTTTATTAGTAATCGATGTAAGAGGGTTTAGAAGCATTCGCGAACTACATAGAAAACGAACAAAATTCGTAGACTTTCTCTCGGGTAGATCGTAGATTTAGTCATTGTTTATATGTCATTAAGATGAAATTGCGATGCTATACGATTGGCGCCGGTTGCGTGGAAGTTTGGAAAGGGGCAGGAGCGGCGTGATACAGGAGTAAGAAGTACGGTGTCTAGTGATGGACTTGAGGCGTCGCAGAATCAGTGTTAAAGTCATTTTCAAAACTACTCTTATATTAATAATTTATTCGAAGCGATTTGTGAAACTGTCGAGGCGGTCGCGAGACTTTAATCTTTTCACTGCTAAATTAGTGGTAAGAATTCAATTTTACAATTTATTATTTTATAATTAAGCTTATCGATATTGTTGTGAAAATTAAATAAAAAAAAAAAATGTTACATAATTGTTCATAGAAACTAAATAGCTTGTATGACTGTTGTTTTTTTTTTTAATTCGATCGTCTGATATAATATCGTTGAAAGAGGTTAGGGTTAACGTTCGACGTGGTGTTTTGTAGGCGTTAGATTTAGGGTTAGGCATGCTGAATATAGGAAAACGGAAACTCTGGCTGGATGGTCGAAAAGTGTGTTGAGTCTATCGCTAGGCAGCAGTAACGGTGGGTGGAGTGGGATCGGCCGCCAGCACGGCGGGCGGGGTGTGTGTGGGGACTCGCGAAGCAACGGAGGGTGGGTGGGATGAGGTGAGGAAAGAAGCGAGAGGCGGGCCTCTGGTGAGGGGTCCGCATTCCACAGACAATGTCACGTTTTTTAATCCCCGTTTTACTTTATTTGTGCTGGCTTCGGCCGCGAGGAAGTCCCCCAAACAGTTAAGTTCGACTTCTGTCCTTAGAGAGCAGATTTCTACAACCGGTGCCGGGCTTCCACCGATTTCTCACGGGAACCCCGAACCGCGGTGAACACCTGGTGCCTCCTCAGGTCAACGAAGACCTCTGCGCTTGGATTTGCTCGTTGGTCTGGGGAACCACCGGACCAACCTGTCAGGATAAATCTTGATCTCGCCGAACGGTGGTTCTCGAGGGTGCAACCATCGAGGAGGATCCACGACCGAATCGGGAAATCATCGAGCACAGAGAGGAGATGTCCGCCGTCGAGAGCGCCTTGGACGTCCTCTCCAGGGCAGCGACGATGGTGCAAGGTCAGTTTATACCGAGTAATTCCTCGCGATCTAGCGAGATGTTTTCGTGCTGCCCGTGCTAGCTTGCCGAGGCGTTCGTTAAATACGTTCCAAATCGCGGATTCGGTTCTATCAATGTCGGAATTACGTTGTGCGCGCACGATGCTAATTAGTGATCCGAGTACGTTTATTTCTGTTGGAAGATTCGACCTCATTGTGTAACGATCAAGATTCTCGGCAGAGAATCGCGGAGGATTTATGTAAGAAGAGGAGAGGTGCTCCTGCGATATTTCGTCCCAGTTCGAGCCCGCATTCCTACGAAATGCCAATTTCACGTCGAATTAGATAACATTGTGCAGTGTTTATTTTAGATTCCTCGGCCGGCACCGAGTGCCGTTTCCCCAACACGCTCGTTGGCAAGACACTACTCGAGGCACCTCTTCCTGCGACACGCATATTCGTCTAGCACGGGCGAAGCTACGCGCACGTGACTTTGTCCGGAGTCATTGATTATCATTGGTATCGTAGCGATCTTCTCTTCACTTCCGTTTTCCTTCGACCGGTCAGCTTTTCTTTCTATCGTTTGGTCCTGCCCCTATATTTGCTCTCTTCTCTTATACTTTCAGAGTGGTTTGAAAGATAATGATTTTGATCCGGTACTTGGACCGTTTTTTCAAAGTAATAGAAAGAAAAAGGAAAATCCGCTTCTCACGATGCCGTGAAACGAATCGCTCGCAAGTGTGTCGTTTTCGCAACGCGATACGGCGTAATCGACCGTAAACAATGGGAATAGTTAAATCGCCGCGCCGCGTATCTCCGCGCGCGCGTTAAGCTTCGTCTAATTGCAGCCAGAGGAGCGCATCAATTAAGCGACGGCCCCGTCTTTTCTCAAGATTTTTCTTGAGAAAGTCTCCGACCGCATAAGGTAAACGTAATTATAACTGACCAGAATAAATAATATCCCCATAGCTGACCATCTAGCAATGGACAAAAGTAAAAAAATTCAAATCCTTCTTTTAGAAATTCTTACATCTTAAAGTGCTAATGAAGGAACTGATAATAAAGTAGATTTTAGTACTAATTTTTTTGCCATATTAATGTTTCGACTAACACTAATTTACTCCAAGCTCCCAACATTATTCACCTTGTAATTAATTTAAAACCAGAAATGTATTTACTTGTTTATATGCTGAACAATTTTTAAAAGATTTATTTTCCTCTATCCTTTCAGTAACGTTTTATCAACATTTGAAACATTCAATCTGAAATCATTGGTGTTTTGTTATTAATATCCTTGTTATGTTTCTCATAAATAAGGATAATTCTATTACTAAAATCTACTTGTGATATGAAACAAATTTAGAATAACATAAATTTTATGTATAATATTTATAATATACTACCCTGGGTGTCTTAAACTGGCCAGTTATTGGTACATTTACCTTACCGTCCAAATTCTTTAGATACGTACGATCGCTTATCTGAGATCGAATCGCTGAAGCGTAAACGATACTAGCACACGATAAAACGCACAGATAAATCTGTGTGTTCAAGCTTCTCGGGCGTAGACATCAAAGGACGACCAAAATTCTCGTTCTTCCGAAACACTCGCTTAAAATTGATGCTTACGTATAAGATCCGTGTTTAGTACAATTATAGTGAGTAACGCATTGACTGTGACGTTGTGTGCGATAGTTAATTATAGAGGAAATGAACTGGAAATCGTTTCTTACGATATTTTGTTAATCGTGACAAATACATGTAATTTATTTATCTAATTTAACGTAATTATATTGTATTAAGGATTAAATGATATCATACACATTTGTCGCGTTACAAAAATATTCAGACAACGTACAAAATCTATAATTTCTGCATCATTTATAGTTATTTTGTAATACTTAATACTTAGTAGGGTAACTTTTCTATTTTATTACACACTTTAGTAAGCATGTTGAACAAATTTTTGTTTGGATATTCTGGACTTATTCGCTCTCGTTCGGCTTTTAATCTCTTTCTAGGTTTTTCTTTCGAAAGTACTTGGTATCAGCCGTGTCCAGCGATTCAAATTGCACCATAAATTCTCAACGGGATTTAAGTCTGAAGACTGAAGACAAATGTAATACTTTCGGACAGCGATAAAGTATCTGCGTGATCCGTGCTTTGTGCTTTGAATCGTTATCGTCATAGATCTTAATAATTCTTTGAACACTTATCACAATGAAAAACATCGTGTCGATTGTATGTTACAGTAATCTTTGCATGTCCTTCGAAAATTGACTATGTGTACACAGTATTATATTGTATTCATACAATGAATATAAACACGTTTATTGTGCGTTTATAAGTACACAATCCTGCGTGGTACAACGAGGAAAATCTCTTTGATCGGTTGTTGATGCGTTAAGAAATAATTTCCAATTCGTTTCCTCTGTAATTATTTAAGGTGTACAGCGTTAAAGTCAAACGTGCTGCCCTACTGTCCAAAATATGTTTGCAGACAATCCTCCGATAGTTTTGATCGTAGTAGAAACTGTCTTAGAAAAAGTTGCACGGAAAGAAAGTAATTTTTCCGTGCAGCGGAAAGGCGTTACTCTGAAAAAGGAAGAAACACGTTAATAATAGTAGGATATCCGTTGTGCCGTTAATAAGCTCGCAACGTGGCACGAAATGTTCGCGATGATTTCCATAAATCATTGGGTCCTATTGGACGAAATACCAGGTTGTAACGAGCTCTCATTCGGTTGTGTTACGAGAGTGTGTGACTCGTTCGTGTGGTGTTTGTTGTGATGGAATGCCGAGCTTCGAACCTGTTCCGAATACCAACCGTAGTTGCACTTGATGGCGGACGATGGCGCGTTCAGTGATTTTCACGTATCAATTTTACCGCTACGAAAATACTTTTTACCATCAATTTTCAAATTATTAATAAACGTCTTCCGACTGAAAATATCCGACGTGGTATTTTTAAATCTTCTCTACTGAATTTGAACCCGTGAAATTGCTTCATCCGATAAGAATAATTATTTGGCTGATTTGGTTCTTCTTTGTTTGTTTTTTAGAGGTTGGGGGCTATATATTATTTTCTTAAATGATTTTTTAATTTAAATACTTGTATCGAATATTTAGGACGAACGACGAATAATGATATTTTCTATTTTTAACAATCAAATATCTTTATAAAGGTCATGTAGTTTAGCTAAAATTTCGCAATTTTGATTATTGTTTTACAATACTAGTTTATACGATGTCCACAATTGTGCAGGATAAGGATCTGTTCGATTTTTTTTTTTATCAAATAACCACAACTGCTTGTCTGATGACTCATGGACACCGTCAAACTTTCTTTTTTGTCCTTCGACACAATAGTATTATAACTCGAGAATGAACAATGATTAATGCTTACAAAAAAGTATACAAGTATTTGAATTAAATGCACAAATGTATGTATCATTATTTAAAGATAAGGCTAAACCGGACTATCTTTAGATCTTTAAACTTTAGTAGCATATCGGGGAATTGTATATCTCAACCATGAGAAGGGATAAATATAGTTTAAATGGTTGAAAACCTGTTTATAAACATGCGTTTGCCGAGTGTTTACCATATTAATTTTTTTGCTCCAAGGGGGTATTCGTTAATCGTTGTCTGGATAAAAATATGCCAAGTATTCTTTATTTACCGAGCTACTGAATACGAAACGCCAGCGCATTTGGTATTCATTGATGAGGCAACCACAAAATACCTGCGTATTTTCTATTCGACGACACAGCCGAATGAAAGTATTCCTGTAGTTGCACACCTATTGAATACTGCACGCGGATACTTTTCATGCCTTTTCAGCATACACAGCTGACCCTCGAATAACCATTAAAACACGTGGCAAATAAAAAAGAAATACGATAATTGTCGAAAATGTTTTCAAAGTATTTCTTCAACAAACTACTTATAAGATAGAATCATCAGACGTAGGTCCTCGCGAGAACAAAGGACTCCGTTCTGTTTCCCTACGAAGATATTCATGATATAATTTTTACCCTAACTTTCGGGCCGTCCTCGGAGGTATTCATCGTTGGAATACTTTTTCAAATACGATCTACCCAGACCCTGATTTCCGAGCGACGTTTCATTCTCGGGGCTTCGAATTCAGCGCATTCCTAAAGCATTCCTTGAATTATATGCTCGGCGGGCACGAGCCGCGTGTCTCATTAGCTCTTCGCGAAATCTGCGAGCATAGTCGGATTTAGGGAACGAGGAAAATTTAACGAAGCGACAAAGCTGTCGACGCCGAGAGATAACGTCGGTTTTCCACGAGCCGCGACTTTGACTCGGAGCGTTACTTTGCGGCATTACGTTCCGCGAATTCACGCCCACCAGCCCAGCGATTCGCTGTTAAACGAACGTCTGATAACTGCGCACGATTACCTGGACGCGGTGCTATTAAAATACCACGGATTCCTGCACGATGCCTCACGATTCCTCGGGTATAACGTGGCACCTTGATCTTGCTCGAGGTATTATTATTGCGCGAACAATAGAGGAGAGACCGAATAGAGAGCCTCTAGAGAAACGTGGGAGTACCAAATTGATTTTCAAGGTCTATTTTGTTACATGTCCCTTCCTCGCCCGGGTCATTTGTGACCCGCCCGTAAAGAGAATGGCAGAAAATAATCTAGGTCGATCCAATACGTAAAATTATCGATAAACCATAGCTTTGTGGCTTTAAGACATTGTAAAAACACAATTATTTACACGGCAAGCGTTGGGAAAGTTGTAAAATTCCTATTCGAAAATCTAAATCTAAATTGTTATTTTTTCCTTATATTTCTAAAAACTGTCCATTTTGTTGTTATAAAAAATCGATTTATAAAATATAATGAAACTTTGGTAAATTGATACGCTGTGACTTCATGGGCCAAATATTTTTAAATTTATTTTGTAGTGCATTTTCTTCAATTTTCACTCGTGGTGTTTAAAGATAAAGGATCAAAATATTTACCAACACTCTTAGGTTCGAATAA